TCTTCATGCATCTTCAATATAAGCATTTAAGTGTATGTGATAATTGATATGAAAAATATAGAATGCATATTATAAGTGTGAAAATCATGGGAGATGATAATCTTTTTTATTCATCTTGTTGTATTTTGTCTCTGCAGCTAATTGGTAGTCTACAACTGGCAGATTGAAATGGGTCATACAAATGAAAGAAACATAAAGTTAAGGTGAATATAATGAAAACCAGTGATGGAATCCTAACACCTAATAAGTTTCTTGATGTATTTTTTCTAGTACTTTAGCCATCCTTGGTGAGGACGTGTATCACATCAATGATGGATTCTGTCATTGTCCGAGAAGAGGTGGAAAATATCCCTCTGTATGGAGGTAAGATAAAACATATTTGGTATATGCTGTGTCAGTGCAGCATCATTATTGTTATTAAGACTAGTTTATTACCATTATAATTACTATTACCCTTATATTAGTGATTACTGTTTTTATTATTGTAACTATTTATATATATATTTTTGACATTATCTTGTTTATATTATTAATATTAGTATTTTAAATTCTAGAAGTATGAAAAGCATTATAATTATTAGTTCTGTTATTATCGTCATCGTCATCCTCCTCCTCATCATTATTATAATTATTATTATTAGTTGTAGTGGTATTTTTATTAATATTATTATTGTTATTGTTATTATCATTGTTATTGTTATCATCATCATCATCATCATTATCATTATTTTTATTATTATTTTTATTGTTATTATTATTATTATTTTTGTTATTATTATTATTGTTATTTTTGTTATTATTATTGTTGTTGTTGTTGTCATGATTAAAATTTTTGTTATTATTATGATTATTTTTATTATTGTTAATTTATTATTATTATTGTTGTTATTGTTGTTATTGGTGGCCTCTGTGGTGTAATGGTAATGCGTAGCTAGGAACCATGAGCATTAGTCACCCAGTTCACACGTGTTCGAATCCAGCACCAATGTTCTGAGATTAAAAGGAAGGGGATCCATGGCTGCCAGAACCAAAGCCCTTCAAAAGAAGGCTCTGTCCCATCCCTTGTGAGGGAGTTTGTGACGTAAAATGAATCAGTCATTAACCCCTTGCCGACGGGCATGGCATGTACGTACATGCCATGCCCATTGTGAGTTTACTTTTTTAATTGTTTTTACACATAGATGGCTACACTTGTACTAAATCTTTAATGAGCCAGTTACGAGTACTGCCTGTCTTGCCCGTTCACCCTTTTCATTGATTTACGAAAATATTTAACGTTATCTTATTTTGCTGTTACAAATGTTTATAACATTTTAGTAATTATAATATTTATAATAAAAGTAACACCATCTATATTTATAGCACTAGTAAAAATATGTTTCTCGTGCCAGTTCAAGGAAAGGTGAAATCCTTTATGGCTAAGCACTAGCAGAGCCATCTAGTAACAGGGACATTTACCAAAAATATAAAAAATGAGCACATAATTTCCCCCATTTTTCATTCATTTTCACCATCGGGAAAGGGTTAATATTATTATTATTATCAATAATAATACTAGGCCAATCTGTCTACTGACTAATTGGTCTGACAGACCAGAGACATGGACTACAATACCAAAATATTTAAAGCTTTCAGTGACTTCAAAGACCTCACTGCAAGCATGAATCCCTAACAGGCCCCCAAAGTCCTGAATCTCATTGCTAAATGCATCAAGAGCCACCACCAGTGATTCCAGAGACTCAGATAGGATAGCAACATCATCAGCAAAGTCAAGGTCTGTAACCTTGATATTGCCCAGTATTGCTCCACATTGACTTTGGATTGTAGCTCTGCCCATTATCCAGTCCATACAGGTTTTGAAGGGTGTTGGTGCAAGGACACAGCCTTGCCCCACCCGAGAATTAACAGGGAAGAAGTTCGACACTTTCAATACCAGTATATAGGCTTGCTATTAGGCCAATAATCCATGTCAGAATTCCCCTAAGTCTCAGGATCTCCCATAGTGATTCTCAATGCACCGAATCAAATACCTTCTTGAGGTTGATGTAAGCTACAAGCAGACCACAACTGAACTCATGACAGAGTTCCACAATGATTCAGAGTGCTAGTGTACGGTGTATTGTGGATTTGCCAGAAGTGAATCCATCCATTTCAGTAGAATGTGGGTGAAAACTTTGCTTGTATACTGAGCACTGTGATGCCATGGTAGTTGCTACAGTCAGGGGGCATGGTCATCCCCCTCCAGAGGGGGATGACCATGCCCCTCAACAGGTGAGGGGGAATGGAATCAGACTGCCAGATGGCAGTCAAGAATGTATGAAAGCCCTGTGCCATAGGTTCGCCCCCAGCCTTTAGCAGTTCAGCAGGATATTGCATATGCCTGCACCTTTCCCACCCATCAGCTTAGAAATCACCATCAGCGTCAGTTAGGGTTGGAGGTCCCTTGGTGATGGGTGGGTCTGGCACAAGTATTTTGATTCTACTTACATCCAAACTAACT